TGATCCCGAGCTCTTCTCGTACACAAACAGACATAGATTCGACCTACATCTAGCCTCTAGTCCTATACTGCACTACTATAGACAGTCCTCTGCATTCTCGTACACAAACAGACACAGATCCGACCTACATCTAGCCTCTAGTCCTATACTACACTACTATAGACACAGTCCTCTGCAGCTCTGTACTGATCCCGAGCTCTTCTCGTACACAAACAGACACAGATCCGACCTACATCTAGCCTCTAGTCCTATACTGCACTACTATAGACACAGTCCTCTGCAGCTCTGTACTGATCCCGAGCTCTTCTCGTACACAAACAGACACAGATCCGACCTACATCTAGCCTCTAGTCCTATACTACATTACTATAGACACTGTACTAATCTTGTGTTTGGTTCCAAAAATACTCAGTCTTCTGTAGTTTATTAAATTGTACAGAACCCAAGTTTGTCTTTCGGTCTTGATTAAAATTCTCCTTTATATCGTGTCGCAATAAAATAGCTATTTGCATTATTCATTGAACTATACATATGTACAGTTTTGTTTCAATTAAAAGTCACGCACAAAAGATATATGTGTAAATAAAAACGAGAGTTTTTTCTAGGATTGACGCACGTACGTTATTACAGGTATTTTTTAAAAGATAATTTTAACGGAATAACAAGTGATTACACTAAGAAAACCTGTAGTTCTAATTAGGTAATATTAACGTTGGTTAAAGTTGTTCAAAAAATTCGCAACTTTTTTTTTTTTTTTTTATTGCTTTATTGGGTGGACGAGCTCACAGTCCACCTGGTGTTAAGTGGTTACTGGAGCCCATAGACATCTACAACGTAAATGCGCCACCCGCCTTGAGATATAAGTTCTAAGGTCTCAGTATAGTTACAACGGCTGCCCCACCCTTCAAACCGAAACGCATTACTGCTTTACGGTAGAAATAGGCGGGGTGGTGGTACCTACCCGCGCGGACTCACAAGAGGTCCTACCACCAGTAATTATGCAAAGTATAATTTCGCGGGTTTGATTTTTATTACACGATGTTATTCCTTCACCGCGGAAGTCAATCGTGAACATTTGTTAAGTACATATTTCATTAGAAAAATTGGTACCCGCCTGCGGGATTGGAACATCGGTGCATCGCTCAACACGAATGTACCGGACGTCTTATCCTTTAGGCCACGACGACTTCAATTAGAGAAACAACAGGAGTAATAGATGTACTAAGCTATGCTGTGAGATTGAAATGGCGATGGGTAGACCACGTGGCAAGAATGAGTGACGATATATGGACTTCTCCGCTGACGTCATGGTTAGACCCTCAGGGAAATAGAAAAAGACGAAGACCTAGAAGCAGATATAGCAGAAGCCTTGGGCTAGTGTTAGCGAATTCTCTCAGGCTGAGCCCGAGAGCTCAATTACCCGTTCAAGCGTAGCTGAAATAGCTTCTTAGGCTATCAGCGAACAGGTAGGACAAAGAAGAACTCATGACTCGATGTAGGCATTTCCGTTTATTCAAGAATTTCACAGCGTGAAACGGAACGCATATCCTAATTTTTATATTATCTGTGCATTTTTAACTCAACACGACTTTGGCGCCTTTTTTTTTATAAATCCTACTAATATTATAAATGCGAAAGTTTGTGAGAATGTATGAATGTATGTTTGTTGCCCTTTCACTCAAAAGCAACCGAATGGGTTTGGATAAAACTGTACAATATTATAGCTCAGACATCAGGATAACACTTAGACTATAATTTTATTTATAAAGTTAAAGTGTGAATTGCCCAAAATATAACGATAAAAGTCAAATAGGAAACAAATCTCCGGATTTATTTTCATAATCAAATTAAATGTTCCCGAAGCGAAGCGAGAGCGGGTTTTAAAAAATTTTTCTCGAACTAAAAAATGTAAAACATCACTTCCACAAATCTGATTTATTATTTGCTCCGACCGTCGCGGCGTCGTGGACACCATTGTTAGCAACCCAAATGAATATTCGTCCCCATTTGTGTACTGTGCTAAATACAGTCTTGCCAATTATACGTATTTTAGAATAAATCAGTGGAGTCCGGTGTGTAGGTACATTGAAAAAAATCGTAAAAATAGAAAGCGGGTAGTTAATAAACAGCAAGCAATTTTTCGTAATTTTTAATCAAGGTTATTTTTAAATTATCTTATTGAGTTAACTTGTCTTGTATTTGAATCGGCTTCCCGAGTCGTATACATAATTGAAACTAAAGACGCTTCGAATGTTTTACAGTTTTAAAAGCATCGCGACAACCGCGAAGTTACGTCTTAAAAGCAGTTTTTATGAACTCGTCATCTTTGAATAATTGGATATTGTTGAATTTTATAAATCGTTTGGCAACCCTATTTTCGGGTTGTTGACCCGCCGCAGACTGTTCTAAAGTTTAACCGAAACATGAATCTAAATCTGCCTACTGTACGGTATTCTAATAAGTTAGCAATAGGTAGAAAAGTTTCGTTATTACAATAAAAAAAGAAACGTATCTTGTTAAGCGAATTTTTTTTGTACATATGAGGGTAAGTCATTGATAATAGAAAACAAAATGGCCGCCACAGCTACGTTTGAAGCACCATATTTTTTTTGTGACTTTATTGTCACAATTCACACATTTGTGGCTATTTATGTATGTATGTCCTCTATATCTTCCCGAATTCCATTTTCGAAGTATTGAATCAACTGTCTACCATTGGTTATTAAACTTTCACGTATCCCCAAAGAAAAGATTCTGGAGGTGCTAAAACACAACATTTCAGTGGCCAATTGTGTGATCGCCTTTAGAAAAAAAAAAATTGAACATTAAATGAAACCGAAAAATAATAATCACATTTGAATTTCAAATACATTGATTGCTCTTTCACTTCGTTCAGTTCGGAAAAGTTTGTTTGTGTGGGTTAACGTGTGTAAAGAAAAACGTGCCGACAGAATTTTCATTATTTCAAGTGATTCGTACACTGGTTTTAGTGTAAATGCAGATTAAAGGTGCGATACTGTTAATTTTCTTTTCTTTTTGTTTAGTATCTATATATTAATACGTAAAGCAAACGTATTTTCTCAGTAAATGACCACCATTTTACTGTGATTATATTTCATCCCATATCATTTCATTTCATTAAATTTCATCCCAGTTGATTAATGTCTCAAATTAATCATCTTTATTTCATTTCACTCCATATTATCATTTTTCATAAAATTAAGAATATAAAGTAAAATAAGACATGACTTAAAGGTCTCAGTTACCAGGTCATAAAATCTCTTAAATAAAGCAAACGTATTTCTCTTTACGAACCTTTTTACGAAAATTACGCGGAGGGAGGAGTATGAAATTTCCCACACTTATCTATACATATAAATAAAATTGGGAGTGTCTGTTTGTAATATTGAAATAACCGCTTTTTACTACATGCATATGAATACATATACGATACATACACCAAAATAGCATTTTTTACAATTTTTGTCTGTCTGTCTCTCTGTTTGTTCTGGCTAATCTCTGGAACGGCTGGACCGAATTTTGACAAAACTTTTACTGATATTTAGCTGATGATATAAGGAGTAACATGGCTACTATTTTAGACTGGCTTCACCCCGTGTACGACAATAATCGCGGGTAACATCGCGGGACTCAGCTCTCAATAATAAGCTGCTATAAATTATAAATATTTTATGAACAGATATGAGTAGAAGGGTTATCCACTGAAGTAATTATATCAATTTNCGAATTTTGACAAAACTTTTACTGATATTTAGCTGATGATATAAGGAGTAACATGGCTACTATTTTAGACTGGCTTCACCCCGTGTACGACAATAATCGCGGGTAACATCGCGGGACTCAGCTCTCAATAATAAGCTGCTATAAATTATAAATATTTTATGAACAGATATGAGTAGAAGGGTTATCCACTGAAGTAATTATATCAATTTCTGTTACTAACGCGCGTGTATTGGTTAACTTTGCCTTCTTTTGTTTGTTATTGTATGTTTTAGTCTTTTAGGTCTCTTAGAAATAGATTCATTCTCAACGTCTTAAGATTAGGCTTTCCCAGAATCTACTAGTTATTCCCGCCCTTAATAAGAGTGTCGAGGAGAGTAATCGACATAATTACTTCAGTACGCCATGTACCGATGACTTACAGTAGTCAAAAGGTTAAGGATGACTCGCGTTACTCAATAATAATAATAATAATAATATTTATTATTATAAATATTTATTATTATAATAATAATATTTATTATTATAAATATTTATTATAATAATAATAATAATAAATATTTATTAACAATCACGCCACGTTAACTGGTCCCGTGATAAGTTCGTAAAGAACTTGTGTTACAGGTACCAGATAACGGATATAAATGTAAATTTTTTATTATACACATACATATATTTAATATACATCCATAACCCTGGGAAAGACATTTATATTTATCATACAAATATCTTCCCTTGGCGGGATTCGAACCCGCGACCCCCTTGTGTAGTGACCATGTCACTTACCACTACACCAGACGGCCGTTAAGGAATCAAAGACTCACTCAATGATAACTCCAAGGATAGACAACGTCACTTATAACTCTTTTTTTTAATTGTCCGAGCAGGCGGGTGAGTATGCGGCCCACCTGATACTAAGAGGTCCTACCACCAGTAATTAGCAAATTATAATTTTGCGTGTTTGATTTTTACTACACGATGTTATTCCTTCACCGCGGAAGTCAATCGTGAACATTTGTTAATGACATATTTCATTAGAAAAATTGGTAGTTGCCAGCGGGATTTACACACTGATGCATCGCTAGATACGAATGCACCGGACGTCTTCTCTTTTAGGCCACGAAGACTTAATCCAATAAATATGCATGATGGAGTCATTGGTATTCTTAGTTAACGAAGCCAGTAGGAGAATCATGATGACAACACTGATTTTTTGCTACATTCTAAGATCTTGCTGTAACTTTTCTTTTTGTACTCAGGTCCTGGATTCATTACGGATTTGGACTTCGATGCGTATATGGGCCCGGTCGGAGACAGCTGTTACACAGCTCAGATCGACGCCAGGCGAAATGGGTATAAAATTCACCACATGTTCTTTTTATTCCACCAAGAAAACCCATCATGATTATGTCCCATCATCACTGATTGCACAAATTTAGAATGTTCCCATGTGTATAGTATAGTAGGCAGCGACTTCGCTCTGCACCTGGCATTGCTGACGTCCATGGGCGACGGTAACCACTCACCATCTGGTGAGCCATATGCTAGTCTCCCTACAAGGACAATAAAAAAAAACACTGAAGGTAGGCGAGCAAACGTCCCATCTAATATTCAGAGTTCTTAAATATCATAATAATGACATCATCATCGTAAATACGTTTCTCGAACCTTTTGCTATAGAAACCGCCCTAAACACATCATTACGGATCCTCCCGATCCATTAACGGCGGTGCTTTTAGGTACATCAAGCACCGGTCACCGCCCTCGCCGAACCCGTCGCTTACGACGAAGTGCTTGACGAGTGAATTAACCCATAGCCACAGCCCACTGAGTTTCCCGCCGGATCTTCTCAGTTTGTCGCGTTTCCAATTCGGTGGTAGATACTGCGAAGCATTGCTCTTGCTAGAGCTAGTGCTAGCAACGCTCCGGGTTGAGCCCCGTGAGCTCACCTACACGTCAAGGAGTAGTTGAAATAGCCTCTCTAGGCTATCAGCATAGGTAGAAAAAAACATAGAAACCTGAAGATATTCGCACTAGTCTTAAGAGTTTGGGATTGTTTTCTGCTCTATGTTAAATGGATCATGGGTGGCGGCCAGACATAGAGGTGCTACTTAGCTGTCGTTCTTAACAGCGCCTTGACCTTCGATTACAAACCGCAGCTTCAGGATATTAGCGACAAGAAGACTCGGCCGCTTTATCTGGTTCGAATCCGGCATAACTTATAACAGAAGTACTACTGACTAGTTTTTCCACAGATAGTATCTATATATATTACATACCCTGAGGATGATCATGTTTATGTCAGTAGGGCATAGGAACACGATTTTTAACACCATCATAGTGTATCCAGATTTTATATTTTCAAATGATTTTAGAAAAGAGTCCTCAGAGGTAGTTAGTGGTTTAATGATGATGATATTTAACACATACCATCAGCTATGGCAGAAAAGTCAGCCAAATCTAGAAAATCCGGCAATTTCATAAAAATATTTGTCATACTCTGTATTTATTGTTAAAAAATCCAGGCTAGTAATAGTTTTGAATTATTCGTTCTAGAGGACACCAACTACCGGAGAGCCCGCCAGATTCTGGATCGGAGAATCCGTACAGTCCCTCTGAAACCCAGGTGCATACCATAGCCGTACCACAAACGGTTCTCAACGCCGAATACATGCTAGTCCACGAACATTTACCAACCCACGAAATACTCCAACAAAATGGAGATTACATTTACGAGGAGTTGAAATCGGACAACTTGGACCAGGATGTGCTGAGGAGTAATCTGAACGATGTGGTCGTTCTGCCTCAAGATCAGAACTTGGAGTTAGGGATACGGCAGGTTCGCCACGATCTTGGTCTGACCGACTCTGTATACCCGAACAGATTTGGACAGATGAGGGTCGACATGCAAGAGCTGGAGCAAGGCATGATAAGCTCGCAACTGGTATCTCTAGGGCACGAGACTCTGACTCCTGTATATACGAGCCTGCAAGANAACGATGTGGTCGTTCTGCCTCAAGATCAGAACTTGGAGTTAGGGATACGGCAGGTTCGCCACGATCTTGGTCTGACCGACTCTGTATACCCGAACAGATTTGGACAGATGAGGGTCGACATGCAAGAGCTGGAGCAAGGCATGATAAGCTCGCAACTGGTATCTCTAGGGCACGAGACTCTGACTCCTGTATATACGAGCCTGCAAGAGCCTAACGTGAAGAAGAGGAAATTATCCCAAGACACAAGTTCTCAAGTTAAATGTGAGCCAGGTAATTTTCTTTAATTTGGACTGATCAGAAATTCAGAGCACAGCTTAATGTATCTTTCTGAGGGGTTGAGACCTGGTCTCCTGGAAACCCGAGCTTAGTTCTAGTTTAGATACCACCACGGTCTTTTTTTTATTTTTTTATTTCATAGATGGACGAGCTCTCACCTGGTGTTAAGTGGTTAATTATAATGCAAATTATAATTTTGCGGGTTTGATTTTTATTACACAACGTTATTCCTTCACCGAGGAAGTCAACCGTGAGCATTTGTTAATTACGTATATCATTGGAAAAATTGGTACCCGCCTGCGGGATTCGAACACCGGTGCATCGCAAGATACAAATGCACCGGACGTCTTATCCTTTAGGCCACGACGACTTCCATTGCTCACGTGTCATAGTTTGGGGTGAGATAAAAAAACGAATATTCTCTTTATTGTTGTTTTCATTCCGCTACAAATACACCAACCAGGCACTTTTGAAGATCCTTGGATGTTTCGGCTATAATCAATCAAACAGGTGACTTCATCCGTCTGTACCAACGTTTCCTTTGTTCTCTCCAACAGCGGCCTTATCCCCGGAAACAGTGCACCCGGTCAGAGCGCCCGCTTCGCTTGACGGCTCCGAAGCCGGCGACGATGCGCTCTTACAGTGCATCCGCTTCGCATCGTTTCAAGAGCGAAGCTGGCATCTTTTGTATGACTGCAATCTGAAGCCACTGTGAGTATCAACAACGGTAGTAGAACCTAATGATGAAATAGTTGTCAGTGGTTTTGCTGTATATCTATATAATGCAACGAGGATGTCGCCCTGGATCTTGGAGGGGGAGACACTCGCCACTGATTACCAGTGGTGCGTGGTTCTTATATGATCACAGCGCGAAAGACCTAAGGATGTGAGTTAAAATGATACGGCAAAGATATAAAAAAAATGAAAACCATACCTAATGATAACCACTCTGGCTCCTTGTGTGCTGGTCTACTTCATATCTATTGCATTGAAATCGAGCTTAAAAGTATAAATCGAAAGCTATAACCAGGTAATAAAACATCAGACTGGTATTTCCAAGTGTTTTCACTCCATCGTGCGTTGAATGCGAAATCGTGTCTTACGCATTCCAATTGTCGTGACCTCTTCAATGACATATGTTTCATTGATGATTTCGGGGCGTTGACCTGAAGGGTTCGTTGTCGCTGACCAGTGTGGCGACTAAGCAATGGTACCTTGCGAAAGTGATCTCTTGTAAAATGCTATGAAAGAATGTGGCTAATCATCCGAAACAAATTCCTCTGTGAGTTCGCGAATCGAGAAATCCTTAATGCTGTGAGATCGGTGCTATTTTAAAATTCAAACGATGCGGTGTCTGTTTTTGACTTAAGATTACCAAGCAGAATCAATCTATCTATGATAAAGAGCTCGCAAGATCTCTGACCACTCAGCTCTCTCCCCCTAATGTCCACAGCAACGGAATCTGCGACCAATGACGACTATCAAATTGGGTTACGTTTTCAAAGCGCTTTTGAAAGGCCAGTCTTGTGACTAGAACGCGAATAGCGGACTTAGTCATGACTTATATCATGCCTCTTGAGACTGAAGTCACAATATGCAGACGAAAAAAGAAATAAGCTAAAAAGTACATATTATAAATCCCAAGTTAAAATGGTCATTCGATCAGAATCTTTGCGGAATATTCATGCCGTGTAACGTAATTGTCCGACAATGTTTTTTATAAAGAAATTGACGGTAGTTAGTGCGATATTAAAATGTCGACTAAAGCCGCTTTCAGACTACGCTATAATGTAATAGCATATATTATTTATAGCTCATAGCACAACAATATCGCACACCATACATAGTTATGGACACGTTCACACTGTACTGTACTATATATTATTGGCTAAGTATAAGGCTGCTATACTATATGCCACTATAGTATAGCGTAGTTTGAAAGCAGCTTTTTTTGAAGTGTCGGAAGTAAAAAACGTAAGACTTTAGTCATAAAAGTACTTTTAACTAAGATACTGATTGACTGAAGTTGATGATGAAGTCAAGCTTTCACTGACGCGTTCCTTATCAGGCAAACTCCGAGTTACGTGGTAGGAGCCGATAAAGGCTTCAACTATTCTCAAATAGACGATGCTTTCGTCTGCCAGAAGAAGAATCATTTCCAAGTCACCTGCCAGATACAAATGCAGGGAGAACCAAATTACGTCAAAACCGCTGATGGTTTCAAGAAGATCAGTAGCTTCTGTCTACATTTTTACGGAGTGAAGGTAAGCTAGTGCAACTAAATTAGGGTTTTTTTTCCCCACCCAGCTGAGAGCCTTGAGAGGCTATTTCAGCGTAACCTTAACTAGGTGAGCTCACTGGGCTCAAACCTGCCGACGTTGCTCACACGAACCCTAGGAAGAGCCGTGCTTCGTAGAATCTACCACCAAACTTGCGATATTTATATCGAGTAGTGAAAGGTTATTTGGTTTAGGCGACATTTCGCTTGATACGCGACATTTAGCTTTGTAATTAAAGGTCCGTTTTATTTAGTATTCGCATCAACAATTCGCTGTTTGTAATTGAACTTGAATTAAGTTTACTCCATCCCAATCGTAGAAGTTTTTTTTGGTTATGATGTTTTCTTAATTTTAAACTTTAAATGGCTCTCCTGTATTGTTGCAAAAATGTCGCTTTCTCGATATGTTCCATTTATTGTACAAGCCAAGACGACTTCGGCAATAGGTGTTAGTAGTAGGTTACAGTACTACTGACAGACTTTTACTCCGAATTGGTTATCATGTCAAAAATATCGCACAGCTTTTTGACTTGCCGTCATTAAATTTTAATATTCTTCATGAATTGCCTAGAGCCAGAGCTCTAAAGAGAGAGAGAGAGAGCTTTTAAAATTCATTTTTCAGGCCGAAGACCCAAGTCAAAGAGTCAGAGTAGAGCAAAGCCAATCAGATAGAACAAAGAAGCCCTTTCATCCAGTACCGTAAGTATCCATTGTCAAAGTCGTGGTAATTTTTTATAAGAGGGTATTTTGAAATTGTTCCAAAAATAATTTTTTTACTGTAGGCAATGTATGTAAATGAAGCGCAAGGTCAACGACCTCCTCTCGTTACATTGCGTGTTTACTACGGATGCAAAAGCATTTCTGTTGAGCATCAGATATAAGTATGAACACTATGGTGTTGGAACCCGATTTATATATTACATACTTATATAGTACCATTATATACTGGATGTTAAGAGATCGCTCAAAAAAACGAAGACAGACGATTTTGTGTTTGTTTCTTTTGATTTTATGTTTCATTGCTGGTTTTTTTTTTTCAAAGTAAAGGAATGTATTTTTTATGAAACAATCATTTCATTTAGCTGTACTAACACGATGGAGCTTAAATAATGCTAATAAAACATTTTAACAATGTTTTCTTTACAATCAAGATTGATTTTTTTCCCTTTCATCATCAAATATGTCATTAGTAGTATCGTCTGTCTTCGTTCTCGGAAGGGGTCTCCTAACACCCAGTATAGTATAATAGATGGCATACATTGTATGTACATATGTATAAACTCGTGTTTCTTGTATACATGGTAAATTAATACTTCCACGACCAGAGTGGAGATACGTCGTGAGGGTGCCAAGGTGACAGTCGGGAGACTCCACTTCGCGGAGACCACGAACAACAATATGAGGAAGAAGGGACGTCCGAACCCTGACCAGAGACACTTCCAGCTGGTCGTCGCCTTGCAAGCCCACGTGGCCAAAGAAGATTACATGCTCATAGCCCATGCCAGTGACAAAATTATTGTCAGGGTGAGTGACTTTAAGCTATCATCCACTTCTAATAGCGGTATTTTAATATGGCAACAACTTGGCAATTGTGTGTAATAATGTAGAAGCAACTAGAAGTGTGCGTTTGGGATGGTATGGACATGTGATGAGACGAAATGACAATGAGGTTGATCAGAGACTTTTCCTTATGAATGTGAAAAGTTTTAGAGGAAGACATAGACCTAAGAAAAAATGAATGGATTGCGTAAAAAACGATATGTGTAAGAGAGGACTGAGCGAAGAAATGGGGTATGATAGAACAGTATGGAAGGAGTAAACATGTTACGCCGACCCCAGGTGGTCTGGTGGTAGGACCTCTTGTGAGTCCGCACGGGTAGGTACCACCACCCTGCCTATTTCTGCCGTGAAGCAGTAATGCGTTTCGGTTTGAAGGCTGGGGCAGCCGTTGTAACTATACTGATACCTTAGAACTCATATCTCAAGATGGGTAGCATTTACGTTGTAGATGTCTATGGGCTCCGGTAACCACTTAACACCAAGTGGGCCGTGTGTTCGTCCACAAACCTAAGCAATAAAAAAGAAAAGAAGGGGACTGGGAGAAGGATAGGAGAATCTCTCTCTCTCTTCCCAGCTATTTATCCCACATGGTGGTGGGGTCAGCTTTCCTGACTTTACTCTTCGTGAGCAACATGACTTTCCTCCACTTCGCTCTGTCTTCGACATCCTCGTCAGCAACATTGCATTCTCTCTTGTCCTTCAGCACTACGTCCCTCCACCTTGTCTTGGGTCTGACTCTAGGTCTCCGACTGGGGAGGTCGAGCAGTAGCGACAAATTTCCGACGTAGTCAGGTGGCTTCCTTTTCACGTGACCATATCATCTCAGCCTACTCTCCTGCATCTTGTCGGCGATGTCCCGTACACCTAGACTTCCACGCACGTACTCGTTGCGGATTTTATCGAGCCTAGTCACGACGCACATCCACCTCAGCATCTTCATTTCAGCAACTTGAATGGTATGCACGTTTCTTTTGGTTTCCGCCCATGTTTCGCTGCCATACATAAGAACAGGCCTTATTATGGTCTTATAGATCATACCCTTGAGCTTAACGGGCATCCTCCTATCGCAGGTGACACCACTTACTTCTCGTCATTTTAGCCACGCTGCGGCTATTCGGTGTTGAATGTTGCATTTTAAATTTCCAGATCTGTGCATCATACTACCCAGATACTTGTATTGATCGCACATGTTTACAAGTTGACCGTCAATGGAAATCGGACTGTTGTCACCTGGATCTGGGTCATTAAAAGACCTGTAATGTGTCTTCGCAACACTCGATATTAGGCCACCGGCCTGTAACTGCTGTTTCCACAACAGGAGTGCCCCTCGTAGCTCTGTGCGGCTCTCGGTGCAGATAGCAACGTCGTCTGCATATATGAAAGTCCACAAGGCTGAGGACTGCGCCACCTCAGTGAGTGAGTCTATAACCATGCCGAACAGAAAAGGACTCAGTACTGAACCTTGATGCAGACCTTCTGCAACTGCTATTGGTTTTGTCTGACCCACTACTGTCCGTACCATTAACCTCGCATCCCTGTACATGTCAATTATGACGTTAACATAATGTTCGGGTACATTCTTCTTGCGAAGGTTCCACCAGATCGTATCTCTTGGCACACGGTCAAATGCCTTTTCCATGTCTAAGAATGCGACATACAATGGTCGAAGTTTCGCACGATACTCCTCAGCGATCGTATTTAGAACAAACATAGGGTCGGTGGTAAATAAGCCCTGTACAAAACCATAGTGATTTTTGGATAGTGAACACTCTGAGCTTAGGCGGCTGTCAATCACTCTCTCATACAGTTTCATAGTATGGCTTAACAGCTTGATCCCGCGATAGTTGTTACATTCGTACTTACTGCCCTTCCCCTTATAAATAGGAACTATGGTGCTCAATCTCCACGCCGCTGGCATTTTGGAAGAGCGCAACACACAGTTGAAAAGTTTGGTGAGCGTTTCGATTCGGTGCTCACGAAGGCACTTCCAAGCTTCCACTGGAATACCGTCCGGTCCCGTGGCTTTCTTGTTGGCCATCTTTTCTAGCGCCATTTTGATCTCATTGGGACCTATTGGAGGTATAAGCCCAATGTTCCTGCCCACGTTTGTTAACTGTATAGCAGCTTGAGTAGGGTTCAGTAGCTGTTCATAATATTGATGCCAAGCTTGGATCTTTAACAGCCCGACATCTAGTGGGATCCCTCGTGCTCCAACAACGCTGTTTAGCGAGCTTAAATATACATTTTTGACCTTCTTTTGTTTCCAGTTGCTCGTACATGGTCTTTAGGGCAACTGCGCGCTCCACTGCCACTATTTTCTTAGTCTCCTTCTTTATTCTTTTATATCTTTCTTGGTCTTCAGAAGTTTGGGTGGACAGGCAGGTCTTAAAGGCATCTTTTTTCCTTTGAATTGCATTTTGTACTGTTTCTGTCCACCACCAAGTCTCTTTATTGGAAAAGGACAGGAGAATGAATGTACAAAAAACTATCTAGTTATTTATTGTTCCGTGAAAGTATTTAGATAGGCAGATTACGCAAACTTGTAAATTGGGCAATATCTTAAATGAATTGGTCTCTGCACTGGCCTACGCTGGTTCTCTTACCCTTCAAACCGCGACGGTCCCAAGCTGACCTGAAATTAGATAGAAGTTTCAGTTGCATATACCGGATTTTGCGGGCCTTTTAATGTGTCACGTTTGATTTTTTTGCACCACGGAAATACGACACACAGGTCGCTAGCATTAGTGTGCTTAGTGCAAGTTTTTTGACGTTCTCGATCGCGTAAAAGGTAACTCAAATTTGTATGGAGTTCCAAGTTTACCTACGTTTGCCGCTAGGGGCGCTGTTCCAACTCGCACTAAGCTCGCTGATCAAATGTGAACCTAATTGATTGGTGATTTTTGGTTCAGGCGTCGAATCCTGGCCAGTTCGAGTCCGACTGCACGGAGAGCTGGTGGCAACGAGGAGTTGCAGAAAACAGCGTACACTTCAGCGGGAAGGTCGGCATCAACACGGACAGACCGGACGAGTCCTGCGTCGTCAATGGTAAGTATTATTATATTATAATATTACTAGCTGACCTGGCAAACATTGATTTGCCATATATAAGATTTCTAGGGAATTTCTAGTGTAGAAAAAAAAACTAACTTATTGTAAGTGTGTAAGGATTTGTAAATGAGTGAAAGAGGCACGTAGCGCTGTGAACGATGAGGGAATATAAAAATAATAAAACCTCATTCAACCACTTATTGCCTCATTACAACAACAAAAAATAAATTGTCCAAAAAATAAATAAAAATGTTAGGGGTGGACAGCCCTTATCACTTAGCGGTATGAAAAATAGATAGTAGCCGATTTTCAGATCTACTGAACATGCATATAAAATTACATAAAAATCTGTCAAACCGTTTCAGAGGAGTATGGTAACTAACATTGTGACACGATAATTTTATATATAAGATTTGTCTATAGTGTAGTCTTGGCGAAATCTGTGATTATAGAAGTATAATAAAGTCTTTGACAAAAGAACCAAAATAATGTTTAAACTTATAATTTCAATTAATTATATTCGAATTTCGACTACTGGGGGACCATAAGGCATATATAAATACGTTATATCTATTCTTCAGCATCAGATACGTTGGAACCGGATACATTGGAACAGCTCTCGGAATGAAGACATAAAATTCTCGACTTTAATACACTTAAAGATAATATGACACTAGTGCAAGCAATGTATCGCATACAAAGTACATTGCGGGCTGACTTCGCAGGAGCTCGAAGTCTAAATGGCCATCAATCGTGCAATTTCACAAGTTATCCTGGTTTTTATTTTCCCAGGAAACCTGAAAGTCATGGGCCACATACTCCATCCTTCGGACGAGAGAGCCAAACATAACATAGAAGAGTTAGACACGGCCCAACAATTGAAAAACGTGCAGAGCATCCGGGTTGTCAAGTAAGACTTAATAATACTATTGATTTGAATGTCTATATTTTTAACCGACTTCAAAAAAGGAGGAGGTTCTCAATTCGACTGTATGTTATTTTTTTATGTTTGTTACCTCATAGCTTTTGACTGGGTGAATCGATTATGATGATTCTTTATTTATTGGATGCCGACGCTTCCCTTGTGATCAATTTATTACATTTATACATTACATACACACAGTTGCATTATATATTTGTATGTATATTTATAAATGTATGTAAGGCATTTGTGTATGTACATGTATGTATGTGTATATATTTATATTTCAATCGTTTGTTACACCGCGTGTAATTCGTTTCCAAAAGATTCTTTTCCACCTTTTTTTTTTTTTTTTTTATTGCTTAGATGTGTGGACGAGCTCACAGCCCATCTGGTGTCAAGTGGTTACTGGAGCCCATAGACATCCACAACGTAAATGCGCCACCCACCTTGAGATATAAGTTCTAATGGTTGTCTGAAAAAGATCGCTTTTAGCGATAAGGCGACCAGTTGTACTTTTTTTGTATTTAATATTCCGCATTGTTTATATTGTTGATGTACAATAAAGAATACTCTCTGTCGCTATCTCTCTTTCTCTCTCTCTCTCATATCTCAAACGCCCACAACCCCCCAGATTCAACTACGACCCCTCATTCGCGGAGCACTCTGGTCTACTGGGGTACGACCCCGGGCGGCAGGGCCCGCAGCTAGACACCGGAGTCATCGCGCAGGAGGTCCGCCGCGTCATACCGGAGGCGGTCAAGGAGGCCGGTGACGTCACATTGCCCAACGGCGACACCATACCCAAGTTCTTGGTCGTCAATAAGGTTAGTTGGATCGAGGTGGAATAGAACGCCGCGTTTATTGCCGTGGTATTTTTTTTATAAGGTATCTTATGACCTGGTAACTAAGACCTTTAAGTCAAGTCTTATTTTAATTTATATTATTATTTTTATATTTATGAAAAATGATAATATGGAGTGAAATGAAATGAAATGAGATGAGATGATATGGGATGAAATATAATCTCAGTAAAATGGTGGTACCCGAGTAGTTACGTCCAGTGGCTTTGTTTCATTTTCCCACATTTGTGCACTTTCACAGTTATTAAACAGTTAATAAACCACCGTTATTACACATTTAAACCTGAAGAAGCACTAAATAGACAAAATAAAACAAATCACACAACTTCACTCCTCACGTTCCCGCCAAAAAGTAATTCCCGCGGTAATAGCTACAGCTATTTATATTATATATTAACCCTTTTAGTGCTAGGCTTATTTTCATTCGTTGTTCGTTGTTCGTTATTCATTTCATTTCACTCCATATTATCATTTTTAATAAAAATAAGAATATAAATTAAAATAAAACACGACTTAAAGGTCTTAGTTACCATGTCATAAAATCCCTTAAAAAATGGGTAATTGAATGTTGTGCTGACTACCCACAATACGTGGAGATATAGCGTCATCGCATTGGCACTTCCAAAGTCTTTATTCGAACCCCAGGACCGGATATTCATGGAGAACCTGGGCGCTGTCAAAGAACTGTGCAAGGTGACTGGAAATTTGGAGTCCAGGATAGACCAGCTCGAGAGGATCAATCAGAAGCTGTGCAGGATCACCGTCCTGCAGCGGCGAGGCAGCTCCAGATCAAGCATCAGCAATGGTAAATTCGTATTTCATGTTTCAATAGGCAGCTTTCCACTTCTTACTGCTGCAGTGAGCTGCGGTTGAAAGTCTTTGAAGTAATTATAGTCCGTAATTACTGGTGGTAGGACCTCTTGTGAGTCCGCACAGGTAGGTACCACCACCCTGCCTATTTCTGCCATGAAGCAGTAATGCGTTTCGATTTGAAGGGTGGGGTAGCCGTTGTAACTGTACTGAGACCTTAGGACTCATGTCTCAAGGTGGGTGACGGCATTTACGTTGTAGATATTTTTGGACTCCAGTAACCATTTTAGGTGGGCCGTGAGCTCGTCCACGCTTCTAGGCTGATAGGTAGCCGATGATATAAGAAGTAACTTAGACTAGCTTCGCCCCGCGGCGTCACCCACGGTACGACAATAACCGCGGCCAACATCGCGGGACTCAGCTAGTTAATAAATAAAATAATTTAAAATATCTCGTTTATTTCTAGACTCCCGATACTCGGCAACATCGAACTCGTCGAAATCGCTCTACAACGACAACGTGTCGATAGATCAGATACGCGACATCGCCAGAAGCATCCGCAGGCACGAATGTTGCCACAAAATGAACCACAACTCGCCTAGGTACACCAGGAAGCAGTGCAAGCATTGCCACAGCAGCTCCTCAAAATACGGGAAGTTTTACAACTCGAATAAGACGTGCTATCGATACAACGATAAAGAGAAGATCGATATGGCCGGCCCTAATTATGTCGATAAAATGTTGCCAGACGACGACTTCGTTGAGTTGCCGAAGAAGAAAGATCACTGTCTATGGGTTAGGAGCGAAGACGATTTCGCGTATGGCAACACTAAATTGGGTTTTTGCTGTCGGAAAGACTACGGGGATGCCAGCAGCGAACTGATCTCCAATAAGTTTTTGCAGATCATTATAACTATATTGGTGTTCGTTATGGCCGTTTGGTAAGTAGACTTAATTTGTTACAATTAGATATATCTTGCTTTGCCTTGCCCGGATGTGCACCGTAATGTTGCCTTTTTCTGCCGCGAAGCTGCCACATTACCCGTGCCGACTTACAATAGGCTTTATTGCTGGCGTGTTAAATGCGTATTTCATTCGAACGTTGTGCTCGATTCATGACAGTTTTTGGACATGTCAAAAATTGTGTAGTATTATTATGCATTTGTATAACTGGTGGTAGGACCCCTTTGAGTTCGCACGGTACTACCACCCTGCCTATTTGAGCCTATTTTTGTCGGTTTGAAGGGTGGGGCAGCCGTTGTAACTATACTGAGATCTTAGAACTTATAGCTCAAGGTAGGTGGCGCATTTGCGTTGTAGTTGTCTATGGGCACCAGTAACCACTTAACACCATGTGGGCTGTGAGCTCGTCAACCCATTTAGGCAATAAAAAAATAATATATAGAATAAAATTACCTTCAATTACTCGATTCGGAGTCGCGCGATCCATTACGGAATTGTAGTATCAAATGACAATCATCAATTTGGAAGAACACATTACAGGTTCTCGTGAACTCTGTCCGTTCCAAAGGTTCGTGTGTGGTTCGTAACTACACAGCGCGATCTAGCGGCGCGCGTTTGTACTACAACGATTTTTAGTTTCTATCGCACGTCGCTAGGTGGTACTGTACCAATAACTAAACAGCGCGATCTAGCGGCGCCTGTCTTTACTACAACGCTATTTAGTTTCGATCCCGTGTCGCTAGATGGCGCTGCACCGATTACTGAATTTACGGTTTTTTCCCTTTCTTATCGCAGCCTCGTCGTAATATCGGCGCTATACTTCCGGGAGCACCAAGAGCTGCTGACGATGAAGGAGACGCGGATGCACGAGAAATTCTCCAGCTACCCTCATTACTCGAAACTGAACGCGGGTAGCGCGCACAAGGCGCCGCCCGACCATAATTTGATACAGGTGACTACACTTTTTTTTTTATGAATGAAGGATTACTGGTGCCCTAGAGGTTTTTCCAGTTTCACTAGGACAAGTGGGCGGTAGGTTTGTTAGAGATGTTTGGCGTTCAGAGTCATCGATACAATCTCCATGTCCGCCTGGACGCAAATGCTGAGCCAATAGACTCGCTGAACGTGGAAAATTTGAGGTTTGGTTCACAGTGAACCCTTGGCTGTCCTAAGACTAATTTAAGACAAAACTATAAGTCCAATACATGTGGATTCTGACCCTAAAAGGATCATCCTCAAAAAGAAAAAAGACCTCAAAAATATGTTTTCCTTTGCAGAATTTAAAACCGTCCCAACACGTTTTGCCCAAGAAAGTCAAAGGTGAGCTTCAATGAATATTTTCTTTATAAATATCTCCTGGTCACTGTATTTATTTTTGCTTAGATAGATGGACGTTTGGACAAGTGGATCGTGAGATCGTCCACTTGGTGTTAATTGGTTTCCGGAGCCCATAGACCTCGACAACGCAAAAGCCAAAGTCCGCTTTGGGATTTGAGTTTTAAGTCTCATTTTTATACAGTACTCACTATTTCAGCTCTCGTTATTTGTATGAAGGATTTAAGGTTTTTTGAAGCTACCCTGGCGCCATTTCTACTGCAATTGAATTTTATAAACATCAAATCTAATTTTATTAACATCAAATCTAATTTTATTATTTATTATCCAAACTATAATGATTTTGAATGATGATTAGAAGGATACATTCTCTAGAATATTCTTTATCACCAATCAAAAAGTCTCATCTAACGAGATGGCTAGCTTCTTTTGACCCTACGCGTGTAAGTACCAACCAAGTACCAAGACGTCTATTGCGTTTGGAGGCAGATGTACAAAGGAACCATCTGATTAGGAAGTAGTCACCGTCTCTTTTGGATGCTAGCAATGCCATGGACACTGCCAAGCCGTGGCCTTCCACTGAGTCCGCAAGCCTCGTTGGAAGAGGCCATACCACTGAGGAAACGTCGTGGAGGGGAGTTCATTCCAGAGTCGGACGTGGCAGAATGTCTCTGGAGAATGAATGATGGATGAACGTAGGGGTTCTAAATAGTCATATTAAAAATTAATGTAGGTGCTGTCTCGACCTCCTCAGAGCACTCCCCATGGAACAGAATAGTGCTCTGAGGAATTGTTTGAGATACCTTCATCTCGTTTTTACCATCGCACTGCCCGCTACCGGAGTAGAGTTCATCCATACTACCTGGAGCCACTGTGGTCATCCATAATGCGTTTCCAGAGATCTATTTTGCTACTTACCATCCGGCTTTGGAATGAGCAACCCTCCACGTTGTTTCCCGAAAGCTATGACATGTCCTTCTTCAAACGAGGCTCGTGGAAAGTATTAAACGGTAGGCAGCGTTGCAGACGTCCATGAGCAACGACAACCACTCTCCATCAAGTGGGCCGTACGCTCGTCTGCATATACGGCAGTAAAAAATACAATAAAAAAAACACAAAGAGAGAACTCAAGCGCCTCAGTAAGCCTAAAGGTTCCAATACCAGATCGCTGATGACGTATAACGTTCTCAGAGAAAAGCGGCCTCAAGACCACCGTGGACACGACCACGGCCCCCACGGACCCGCCACTCACCAGCACAACGCCGCCACCCACCAAGAACTACATCAGCAGCCTCATAAGTGAGTACGCACAACTTACGACCTCACAGCCATAAAGTTGGTTTACAAAATGAACTTTTCACTTGAATTCTAGTCACTAGACACTAATCACACCCGGTTCTACTAAATTCTATTCTTCGATTTAAATTCTCTCAGGTTGAGCCCGTGAGCTCACCTACCGGTCCGGGAGTAGCTAGAATAGTCCCTCATGCTACCACCAGCCAATAGGTAGGGGGAATATACCTTACCAGAGGTCATAGACACCACGAATACCCCCCTTTCATCTCAAAGACTCAGTTGCATAACGAAAATCCCACTCTTTAAACTGGATGCGCCTTAACCAGGCAGGACCTTTGCAAATAACCTACACATACAATCCTCGGTAATCAGTTTAGTATTCGAAAAACTACATTTTACTGGTAATTTTTTGTGATGATACAATGAAAACTGTAAAAACGGATGGTGTAAAAGAAATAAACAAAGTCTGTTCCTAAGGCACGTTGCTATGGGTATATGGGGAAATGATCCAAGGAGGATGAGTAGTCGATTTTGAAACTCATGCTAAGTCCTGGTATGATGAGGTCACGCTGTGTATGTCCCATGTAATGTGGTGTAAGAGCGAGAAGGAGATAATCCTTAATATTTTTTTGACGAGCTCACAGTCCACCTGGTGTTAAGTGGTTACTGGAGCGCCCATAGACATCAACGAAGTAAACGCGCTACCCACCTTGAGATATAAGTTCTAAGGTCTCAAGTATATTTACAACGGCTGCCCCACCCTTCAAACCGAAACGCATTACTGCTTCATGGCAGAAATAGGCAGGGCGGTGGTACCTACCCGCGCGGACTCACAAGAGGTCCTACCACCAGTAAAAAATGCCAGAGATGACCTGATAGGCTTACGGATGCTCGTACTTCCAGACACGATCCAGGCGGCGGCGCGCGGCGAGGGCGTGGTCGCGGCCAGTCGCACGGCGGACGTGGTGGGGGGAGGGTGCGTCTTCTCGGCCAACAGCAACAACGAGCTGGAGCCCGACTGTCAGGTGCGATGGACTTCTATTCGGACTTTGGAAAGTTAACTCAAATTTATATGGACAGTTTGCCTACGTTTGCCGCTAGGGGCGCTGTTCCAACTCCACACAAATTCGAGTTCACTTTTACGCGATTCGGGAACGTTAAAAAACTCGCACTAAGCCCACTCATTTATATCTATACCTATAAATAAAATTTGAGTGTCGGTTTGTAATATTGGAATAACCGCTTTTTACAACACGCATATGAATATATATACATATACGGTACATACACCAAAAAAACATTTTTTACAATTTTTGTCTGTCTGTCTGTTTGTTCCGGCTAATCTCTGGAACGGCTGGACCGATTTTGACGAGACTTTCATTGATAGGTAGCTGATGATAAAAGGAGTAACTTAGGCTACTTTTTTAGACTAGCTTCGCCCCGCGGCGTCACTCGTGGTACGAAAATAACCGCGGGTAACATCGCGAAACTCAGCTATTAACACCTCAGCAACACGTGGTGTTTATGCCATTAAATTGTAGCTTATGTGAACTGTTAGTATTTTTAGCACAGCGCCATCTATGAGACATTAATCTCAGACAGTATTACAATTGTCTGTAAAAACTGATCTGTTCTGTCTGTTCTGTTTTAGACTTATGAAACTTATAATTAATAACAATAATCAACATAAAAATAATTTTATTGTTAATTAATAAATATTGCGACCATTAACCGAAATAAAAACCATCCTATGGCCTAAGTTGGAACAAAGCACATATTTAAAAAAAAAAAAGATGAAATCTGTTCAGTAGTTTACGTCTCCTTCGCGGACAAACAACGTGACACGTAATTTGTATATATTAAGATATATATATAATCGTTTAAATATACACTTAGTCTCTTGCAAAACTATCGTATATATTTCAGTAAATTTCCTATCAAAATTATAACTTCGGTCACTCGATACGTCTCTAAAAATACTGCATTAATAGTTAGTATAAATTTATTAAAATACACAAGTACCTTAACAGCTTCGATCGCTAGATGGCGTTACTAATCGCCTGAATCGCGCCATTGTTATTTGTCGTCGATTCAAATAAAATGCTATCAATGTGATTAATTGTATTTTTCCTCCCGATCCACTAACGGTGCTTTTAGGTACCCCAAGCACCGGTCACCGTCCTCGGCGAACACGTCGCTTGCGACGAAGGGCTCGGCGAGTCAATTAACCCTCAGACACAGCCCACTGAGTTTCTCGCCGGATCTTCTCAGTGGGTCGCGTTTCCGATCCGGTGGTAGATTCTGCGAAGCACTGCTCTTGCTTTTGCCAGTGTTAGCAACACACCTGGTTTGAGCCCCGTGCCGCTGATCTCTCTAGACCAGGCCTGGGCAAATGGTAGAATTTTGTCTGGCCCGTGAAGCATTGTATAGGTATTATTATTAAAAACACAATTTATTACATATTAGTTTTTGTCTAACATAATTGCCGGTGGGAGCCAAAATTTTCTCCTGGACAATCGCTCTTTTCAGCGCCTCCTATTCGAAAATATAATTATGATAATTGAACAATTACAGTATGTATAATAGTCGCACAATTTCACTAGTTATTATACTTATTATATCACATTATTGCATGAATAAAAAAAATAACTTAAATCTAAAGCCACCATTTTCTCCTGCGATAGTACAGTAGAACGCAAGTTATTTTATATTAATTTTAATTTGGAGAAATATCTTTCCGCAATAAATTCGCGGAAAATTAAACGAAATAAAAGCAGATATAGATCTACTGAGGGCGCATGCATCGTAAAACACTAAAGAAATAATGAAACTGAAACTGATGTATTTGCTTAACATATTTTTCAATTCGAAGAGTCTGAACAAATTTTCTCAAATGTTATAAAAAAATTACATCCTTAGCAAAAACTATACTTATAATTAGAAAAAAAAACTGTTTGGCCCGAGGTAAATTTTTCATCTGCAATGTGGCCCGACTATCAAAATATTTGCCCACCCCTGCTCTAAACCATTAGTTTAGAAAGAAAAAAAAATGTATTTTTATGTTCTGTTACACGCTGCTTCATTAAAGGACTTTGAAATTTTCTCGCTTTGGATACAAAGGATATTGGTGAGATTGGTATTATGTTTGCGTTCTAACTGTTTTGGTACAATCATTTGACCTATTACTGCCGCGACGTCGTCACGCGCACTAGTACGAAAGGTCAATCTGTACAACTGAGATTACGATCTCTTGTCTCTGGATCGGTGACGTCACACATGTCGTGATGTCTACACCGGGTATAGGTACTATTTGGTAATGTGACGAGGAGGATGAACTGGCTGTTAGCAAATCCTACCCCTCCTGGTTGAGCCTTTGCTCACTCATCCGTTCACCTGCCCTGGTGAAACTAGGAAGTCTTTCCACCAGTAATCTAAAGATAGAAAAAGACATATTGCAACAACCCCACTGAGGGATAAGGACAAGAGGTTTTTTTTATTTATTGCTTAGATGGATGGACGAGTTCACAGCCTACCTGGTGTTTAGTGCTTACTAGAGCCCATAGACATTTACAACATAAATGCAGCCACCCACCTTGAGATATGAGTTCTAAAATCTCAGTTTTTACAGTACAACGGCTGCCCCGCCCCTAAAACCAAAATGCATTACTGCTTCACGGCAGAAACAGGTAGGGTGGTGGTACCTACCCGGGCGGACTCACAAGAGGTCCTACCACCAGTAAATAAATGAAGGCTGTCCCCTTTGAATACTCAGTGTATCTCAAAGTGGCTCTCAAGCTGGTCATATAGAAATATCTGCTATTGTCGTTAACGTACTGGTTCTATTCCCTTGCAGTCGTCGTGCGGATTGGACCCGCCGCAAACGTACGACAGTAGTGAGCCGCTTGAGCGTTCCAAGCCGGACAAAGATTCGAACGAGACCTTCATAAGGCCCATCGAACCCACTCATAGGGACAAACTGCCGAACATCCCCATAATATTGGAGAAAAATAACTCGGAGACCTTAAAATACAAAATGAACGAAGAGGTCATCGTTTACGCCAACTATTTGGACAGCAAAGCGAACGCCAGCGACGTCAGCTCGAAGAGATACAAAAGGGACGCCGAAGAGATGCGGAGTAGCTCCGAAGAGATGAACTACGGCGAACCCGACAAAGAAATCGGACCCGGTAAATATTATCCCTTTGATTGTTTAGACTAAATTGTCTTATTAACATTACTAGTTAATGATCGAGCTTTACGCGGTTTTTTTTTTATAAATTATGTTTTTTAGAAATTATATTTAAATACGAATTACATATTGATAAAATGATGAAATATGAATAATATTTTTCGACCTTACCGACAGAATAATAAAAAAATATGATATTTTTTTAAGAGAAAAAAAACAAAATTATCGATAAAGTTGATTATTGAAAACACGAATAAAACAACATTTTCTGAAAATAAATGATACAGATTATATACGAGAATTGCTCGTTTAAAGATATAAGATATTTTATGTGATGGGAACAGCTGACGAATTACGTTGAGATTCGTGCCTTATCCGACCCAGGCGACGAGGCAACGTAAAACCTCCGTCGCCCGATACATGACTTGTCGGATCCCCCGGATTCACTCTCGATGCTTTTAGGCCTCACAAGCACCGGCTACCGTCCTCGACGAGCAAACTAACCCACAGACACAGCCCACTGAGTTTCTCGCCGGATCTTCTCAGTGGGTCGTGATTCCGATCTGGTGGTGGATTCTGCGAAGTACTGCTCTTGCTAGGGCTAGTGTTAGCAATTTCTCTCAGGTTGAGCCCGTGAGCTTACCTACCCGTCCGCATATAGCTGGAATAGCCTCTTTCTTAGGCTACCAGCGAATAGGTGGGAGTAAAAAAAGATTCGTGAAGACAAATGCAATTCGCACTTAAATAGTTCTGAGTAAGACCTAACTGAGTTTTTACTGTTTGTTTGTTTTTGTTAATCAGACGTTTTGAAGTTGTTGAAATAGATTTTCGAAGATTCAGTCACATAGATATATAGCTAACCAAAAACTTAATTACGAGATTGTATCTATACCATTTGCCTCATTAGGGCTTCCCTTTTTCTAATTCCCTCTTCGATCTTCCATATAGGGCCATTGTCAAACCCAAATGTTAGTGAATGTTTTTCATCAATATGCTTAGAAAACTAGGTATTTATTGCTTAGATAGGTCACGGCTCACCTTATGTGAAGTGGCTACCGGAGCTCATAGCTATCTACAAAGTAAATGCTGCCACCCACCTTGAGATATATGTTCTAGTCTCAGTATAGTTACAACAACTGCCTTGCTCTTCAAACCGAAACGAATTACTGCTTCACGGCTGCAATAGACAGGGTGGTGGTACCTACCCGTGTGAACTCACAAGACGTCGATCAGAATGAAATAGCTTCGGAGTGAGTCAACCAACTGACCTCCTCAGTCCCGTCAGTATATAATGACAGTGTCCGTCGTTGCAGACTGCGACACGGTCCGCGTGGGCATCCGGTCGGAACAGACGAGGAACATGTCGCTGTTCACGGAGACGGTGTGCGCCGCCAGCACGCACAACTACACGTACGCGGTGCCGCTGTCGCACTGTCTGCACCACACGCACGTGGACCTCACGTTCCTGTAAGTATGGGGTCCCCCCCTCCTCCCCCCGGCCAGCAAGTGGCTGCTCCACGGACAAAACTTGCAAACTTTGTTACAATCCATCGTGGAAGTCAGGATCATGAGTCCCCCTACGTGTTTCATTAAACAATCGGCCCGCCCAGTGATGACTGGTCACCATTGCTGGCCCCTTTGCATTACTCACCGGGACATCTATTATGAATTTCTTAATGATAATTATTACAATTACTAAATGTTCACGATTGACTTCCACGGTGAAGGAATAACATCGTGTAATAACAATCAAACCCGCAAAATTATAATTTGCGTAATCACTTGTGGTAGGACCTCTTGTGAGTCCGCACGGGTAGGAACCACCATCCTGCCTATTTCTGCCGTGAAGCAGTAATGCGTTTCGGTTTGAAGGGGCAGCCGTTGTAACTATAGGTAGTTGAGATTTTAGAACAGGGGTTCGCAAACATATTTTGTCTACTGCCCGCTTTGAGAATAAATTATTTTTTAGCACCCCCATTTTTTCACCTAAAAACCACTATAGCGAGAGCTCAGTCGGTGTCTAAGAGTCTTCCTAGATGAAATTACAAATCGCCTCCCAAGCCTCTCTCTACACAGCGCCCCCATTTTTTTCTGAATCTCTTAACGCCCCCCTTTAGGACTGCAGCGCCCACAAGGGGGCGTTATCACCCACTTTGTGAAAGACTGCTTTAGAACTTATATCTCAAGATGGGTGGCGCGTTTACGTTGTAGATGTCTATGGGCTCCAGTGACCACTTAGTTCGCGTCTGCCCTGGCACAGGTCGTCGAAGCTGAAGGAGCACCGTCTGTGCGCCGTGCAGTGCAACTACGAGGACACGTCGAAGCACTGCGAGCACGGGCGCGAGCTGAGCGGGCTGGCGGCGGGCGCGGGCGCGTGGGGCGTCCGGGTGCCGCTCGAGTGCAACATCGACAGGGTCATGAGGATCAGGTCCCGCTACGTGCACGGGAAGCCCGGCTTCACCAACTGGGTGCGTGTTCTAATTAGTTTCAGCCGCGGTTTAGATACTAATTCGGTATTAGAGATCTAAGAGTATTCATTATTGTACACAAAAAAAAAAACAAGTTTCATTAAATACAAAAAGTACAATCGGCGGTCTTATCGCTAAAAGCGATCTCTTCTAGACAACCATCAGGTGGACAAGAATCATTTGGAAATGAAATACTCGCAATATCACTACATAGTATAAAACAAAGTCGCTTTCTCTGTCCGTATATCTGTCTGTCTCTATGTATGCTTAAATCTTTAAAACTACGCAACGGATTTTTATGCGGTTTTTTTAATAGGTAGAGTGATTGAAGAGGAAGGTTCATATGTATAATAACATCCATTAAATAGTGGAGAAATCAATAATAAATTATAGTTTCCGAAGCGAAGCGAGGGCGGGTCGCTAGTTAATAATAAATATCAGCAAATGCCCAATGGCAGGATAGTTGGTTTTTTTTATTGCTATTGTAAACAAGCATACGATACAGCTTATGATCAGTAATCACCGTTGCTTATGGACATCACCAATGCCAGCGGCATAGTTAAGCCGCTGCCTACTGCTTTGAGTACTCTTCACAAGCCTTGTTTGAAGAAGGCCATGTAATGAGGGAGGCTCATTCCAGAACCAGATGGTACATGGTATTTCTCTGATCTCTTTGAGACGCACTATGGATGAACTGTGCCCCGGTCTGCTCTATTCTTTATCATTGTCCTTTTAAGCCGAGCAGGATACTGCCCATTCAATCAGTAAGTAAGAAAGTCCCTCGCACTCGCAGTTACCGTGCTAAGAATCCATGACCGAAGCGACCACGGACAAGTCTAACCTGCTTCTCGTTCTTCCTCCAGGATCTGTGCGGGCCGCATCAAGACCACAAGATGCCCTTCGTCGAATTCAACATTCGCATGTACAGCGACTGCGGTAGTTAAATAATTACCATAGTCTAATAGTGAATCAACAGACAACGTTTGGATGGAATGTCGGAATTCAATCGGAATATAAGTATAAGAATACAAACAGTGCCGTAAACGAATTGTAACGTACAAAATTTACCCGCGCAATGTATCACAAATAAAATAATCAACTCGTGCCCGGGGTCAATGGCCTCGCGGGAGTCGGACCGTCGATTACCGTCAATGTACATTGCGGGCTCACCAAACACTTTCAACTTAAATGACGTTGAAATACGCATAATGATCAGAAGAGACACGAAACTAACAGATAGAAGCTCGGTTTTTTTTTTAACCGACTTCTAAAAAATGAGGAGGTTGTCAATTCGACTGTATTTTATTTTAAAATGTTTGTTATCTGTATTAGCTTTACCGAGTTAATATTTTAAGAAAAAAAAACGAAATACGTACGTACACATAAAATTTGAAGCGGTCTGGAGTGAACACCGAATATTCGTATGTTTTTTAATTGCTAAATTACTTGGACGCGCTTATTATTATTTGGTCACTAAAGTCCATGGACATCAACAGCGTAAATACCGGCACGCTGCTTGAGACACGAGTTCTAAGTCTCAGTTTTTCAGCACAGCTTTTGCTAATCATTGATTTCAACTTAGAGCCTACTATATGAGTCGTCTATTATCAAAGGCGGCAATCTGTACATTTGGACAAAAAAAATTTATTGATATGTCAATACAGATTTATTTGAATATAATCGTCTCCTTCAAAGAATACGGTTCAAAACCTGCATTAAATAAAGGTTAATAGTTAACCTGTTATTTATCTAAGATGTCGTTCCGAAGAGTTTTGTGACTGCCAATGGAATACAAAGTCAATAATTCGTTTTTCTGATTTACCAATCATTGTCCAAAAGTCAGATTGCCGCCTTTGATAATAGACGACTCATATATACCCCGACGGTTCATCCCCGTTTCGGCACAGGGAACTGATCCGTGCAGCCCGTTTAAAAATTGACGCTAGATATCGCAGTTGACATTTGACGATCAAACCGGATTTAGTAGCTAAACTGTCAATACGTGACAAGCTGTTACTATATGAAAGTCTTTGATTAGTGCTCATTGCGTCAGAAGTTTCAAGGTCACCCAAAGAGCATTAGAGAGGGCTATGCTTGGAGGAACCCTGTGAGATTGAATCGGGAATGAGGATGTTAGAAGAGATGGCGACTGAAATGACGTGTCGTCGGTAGGACTGCCCGAATGTAGGTGTGGGGGATTGCTCATTATGGTGAGCCTTGGGAAGGTCTGCAGGCTGATGATGAAGAAACCACATAGATACCTTTTTGTTTGTTTTTGTTTTTCTACCTATGCTGATAGCCTTGAGAGGCTATGTCAGCGTTACCGGACAAGTAGTTGAGCTCACGGGGCTCAAACCTGGCGAAGTTGCTAACACTGGCTTTAGCGAGAGCAGTGCTTCGCTGAATCTACCGCCGGATCGGAAACGCGACCCACTGAGAAGATCCGGCGAGAAACTCAGTGGGCTGTGTCTGTGGGTTAACTTACTCGCCGAGTCCTTCGTCACAAGCGACGGCTTCGACGAGACCGGTAGATACTTTGATGAAAATACTCAAATATCTAATGATGAAATATCTATAACACGTTTAAAGATCTCGTCGCCAATAAGGAGTGACATTCTCCATGAAATTCAGTTCCCAGTACATATATATTAGATTATTTAAATATAAAAAAAAACCAAATAAATTAAAGAATATAATCGCTGTTAATTTTTCTTTTTATTATTTTATTCACTGAGGTAATTGGCTGCTAAATCGTCTCGTAATATTTCTGGACGGTTTGATCTAAGAACTAACCATTAAAGTGTAAAAAGATTTCTTAAAACGCCGCAGTCTCGGAAAATCAATCTAGAAATGAACCAAGTATTGAATTTAAGTATTAGGGCAGTTTTTTTAAATATATTTTCCAGTCCATCTCGTTTGTAAGCTGTAGAAGTATTAGGCAAAAGATAATCTCCTTTCTGAAGATCTGATTTAGATATACATTAAGTAACTCGATACGTTATGATAAGACGGAGTCGTCCGAAGTGAGGAGAAGTTTTACACGAAGCGGGCAGAAGTCGTGCGAAGTTAATTTCGAGCGATTGCCTTCTTTTGCGGGAGTCGTAATCTTTTGAATTTTATAAGTTTTAATAATTAATTCTAAATTTAGTATAGGTACGTAATACATTCCCCAGTTATTTTTATGTATATTTTAATATATTTACAAAGAAATGCAGCTCTCATTTTCTTTCGTTAAATTTATGTTTAAAAGTATTAATTTTAAAAATATAATTTTATTTACACGAATTGATTAAAAAAAAACAGAAATACTCAGTGATAAATAATTATCATTCGTGCGTGACCTTTGTTAATTGTTTTTTTAAATAAGATTACTTTTAGAGAGAAAATGTAAATCTATATATTTTTTAATGTATTATTTTAAAAGTCTTCATAAACATTCCAGTTGTTGTACTTAATTAATTGTAAGCAAGAACACGAGGATGACATATAGAAAGATAACTTTAAAAGGACCATAAGAAGGAGTGGGTATATCTTGCCGTCTCTCTTGTACCAAAATGGCGGTCATTAGGTCGTATAGAACTACCCTCAATGCGATTTGAAAAGTGTTGTAACGCGAACATTCCCGAATGGTATTTATTCTACATTTCATTTTACATGTCTTAATTTTGCATTAAATACGTGCGTGACAAATAGATGAATAACTCAATAACTCAATATCACGCCAACCGATTTCGATGATTATTGTTTTTAGTGTATATTAATTTGTTTTGGAATATCTTTTTTTTTTCTATTTGAAGTCGGTTTTTGTTAAAGCATGTCTATTTACAATTATCACTCCATACTGTGACCCACTCCTTAAATTTAAATAAAATACACAACATCGATTCCCTCTGATATTTCCTAGAGTATTTAATATTTATTATTGTATAATATATAGTATACATTGTTTGTAGAGCTTGGGTGGATGTATAGTATATATTATATTATATGTAAAAGAAATTTTGCTTATGTAATTAAAGCTAGGTAATTATTGTTCAAATATTTAGTATCTCTTGCCATAAAAAAGTAGATTTACAAAAAAAAAGTTGGTGGGTTTGTTATAATTAGTATTAAAATTAAATTAATAGATTTCATCACAATATTGAAAAAATTGTTTTTTTTTTAGATTTTATTATTATTAAAAATATCTATGTGTCGAAACATTTATATTTTTAATACGCTTTCAACATACATATTATAAACTATTATTTTAAATAACTTAAATTATGCATTGAAATTTGAAAAGTCAATATTTATTTAACAAATAAATTTTATTAATACTGTTTGATTATTTGTTTAGAAATGTATTATACACGTTTTTTTTTAAATTAATTAATTAACACTATAATTATTGGCAGCAAACGTTTATGGTTACAAAAAGAAATCTCAATTTTTAATATCGGTACGTCAAATTCATCGTTAAATTAAGAATGTCCGGAAATTAAATTATTTAAATTTCATTGTGTTTTCGTTATGTACGCGCGTGAAAAGCTTTGACTTGAAGGCGCTAAAAATAAATAGATTTCGATTGATAATAACAATGTCACTGTCTATAGAAAAATCGTTATTTTCCTACCTATTCGTTGGTAGCCTAGGGGGATATACCAGCTACGCCCGGACAGGTGGATGAGCTCACGGGCTCAACCTGAGAGAATTTGCTAAGAATTTGAATTTAGAAGTGATAGACAATGCATCTAAGTACATATTATGAGTCAGTCAGCGCAAAAGTGGCCTAAGCTTATCATAGTTAGTATGGAGGTAATTAGAATTGAATTTTCATGAATTTAAATTTGAGTAGGCAAAAAAACAATACCCGCAAAAATAATGTTTACAAAGACATCTGTTATCTGTGGGTGAAACTATGGATAGGCCGGTTTTGTGTCAAAATGTATTATATTTTAAATCAATTCTAACGTACAAATGAGGCCGTCAGCGTAAAGGTAGCCTAAGCTTACCATAGTTAATATGGAGATCATGAGATTTCATTTTAATTTTACACTGCTTCGTAGGCAAAAACAATACCCGCAAAAATAATGTTTACAAAGGCATCTGTTATCTATGGGTGAAACTATGGATAGGCCAGTTTTGCATCAAAACTTTTGAATACATACCAGTATATAAATCCGAATATGAAAAATTATGAAAACTTTTGTGCTAACCGCCTCATATAAGCTTGAATATAAAAAATTGTGGGTTAGGCCACTTTTGCGCTGACGCCTTCATATATGTCGCAAGATATCAAACTTGTATATCTATTGTTAAAGCTCTTGAAATGATTATGTAAATCCATTCGCAAACATTTGCCATTGGAACGATAAAATGTCCAATAATGTTTTATTTTTATATAAATTTTGTTTTTATTTATTATGATTATATTAAATACTATCGTTTATTGAATATAGTTTTAAGATATCCGTAATATTACGTGTCCACTTTGTATTGTGTAAGTTGTAATTAAATTAATAATGTAGACGTTTCCTTTTGTATTTATTTTATTCCCGAATTCCCGTTATATTCCCGTATATTGTACATCCCCAGTGCGTTTCCAGAGATCATTTATGCCACGTACCATCCGGCTATGGAATGAGCTCCCCTCCACGGTGTTTCCCGAGCGCTATGACATGTCCTTCTTCAAACGAGGCTTGTGGAGAGTATTAAGCGGTAGGCAGCGGCTTGACTCTGTCCCTGGTGTTGCTGACGTCCATGAGCGATGGTAACCACTTACCATCAGGTGGGCCGTATGATGGTCTACCTGTTTAGGCAATAAAAAAAAAAAAACACTTTGTTTTAATAGTACATTCGTTACACAATACAATTGAGTAATAAATCTCATGTCTCAAGGCCACCACTCGCATCCTGATGTCTATGGACTGCTATAATTACTTAACACCAGTCGCGTCTGTTACAAGTTTGTATGTAAACAAAAAAAAAAGAATGAATAAACAAACGTATTATTATAGTTAATAACAGTTGTTGTTACGTAAAAAACGACTTTTGTTGCGCAATTTCAAGGTACGTTTTTGCGTGCACACAACTACGATCACGACACGAAATTGCATTAGAATTGTATTTCGAAACTTCCGTCTTTCGTTATTACGTCTGCGGTTTTCCATCATTTTCCTATTTTAGGTCGATTGCAGACGTTTCTAGACGTATTTCAATCTCTTCCTCGGAGATTAGCGTGTTAATACCAAATAAAACGGACCTTTAATCACAAAGATAAATGTATTAGTGAAATGTCGCCTAAATTATTAGTGAAATGTCATATCGTTGTATTCTTCTTCTTCTTTTTCTCCACCTTATCCCACTAGGTGGGGTCGGCACAGCTAATTTTTCTCTTCCATTCTCTTCTATCAGCCGTCATCTCAACACTCACTCCTTTCTCTCTCATATCGTCATTCACACACTCCATCCATGTCTTCTTCGGTCGACCTCTTCCCCCTCTACCTTGCACTACCATTTCCATACATCTCCTAGTCACATGCATCTTCTCTCTGCGCATCACATGTGCATACACCACGCTAACCGTCCGCTCCTTAATTTGTTGC